TGTTTGTCATGAGATCGGCGGCAACCATTGTCAGTCTGTCTCTAGTCTGAGAGAAGTGATTTCATGATAAATAAAAATCTTAAGTATTAAGCATGATTAATTGATATTAATTGAAATCTCCCTTTTTGAAAATATCTTTTATTCGGAAAATAGTTTAATCATTAATTATACCTTTACTTAGAAAGTAAGCCACTAAAAACCTATCTGTGGCCTCAAGAAGTTTACCTATTTTAATTTTGGCCACTACCTACTGCCTAGTTATGCAGGTCTACCCTACAACATATATCATTTTCTCTTTTATCGTATTGGAAAATCTGATGAGTGTGAGGTGGTACCTCAGAGTTGTTTTAATTTCCGTTTCTCTAATCCATAATGATTTAGAGTATTTTTTCATATGAGTATAGGTAATGTTGACTTGTTCATGGGAAAACTGCCTGTTCATATCCTTTGGCCATTTGTGCATTAGGGAAAGACTTGTATTCTTATAAATTTGACTCAGTTCTCTAAAAAGTGGAGAAATAAGGTATTGATCAGAGACATTTGCTGTGAAATTGTTACCCAGCTTTCTGCTTTCCTTCTAATCATGGTTGCATTGATTTTGTTTGTGCAAAAAAAAATTTATTTCAATGTAATCAAAATGATCCAATTATGTCTCATAAGGTTCTTTATATCTTGTTTGGTCCTAAATTCTTCTCTTCTCCATAGAAATGACAGATAAACTGTTCCATGCTCACCTAATTTGCTTATGGTATCACCTTTTATGTCTAAATCATGTACCTATTTTGGCCTTATCTTGGTTTATAATGTAAAATGTTCCAGTTTTTCCAGAAATTTTTGTCTAATAGTGAGTTCTTGTCCCAGAAGATGGAGTCTTTAAGTTTATCAAACACTAGATTCCTATGGTCATTTTATACTGTTACTTATGAACCTAACCCATTCCACTGATCTATTATTATGTTTCTTAAATAGTGCCAGATGGTTTTGATAATTGCTGCTTTATAATACAGTTTGAGATCTGGTATGGTTAGTATAACTTATTTCTCTTTTTTCCCATTAATTTCTTTGATATTCATCTGTCATGGGCACCTCCTTTTCCAAAGTTGTTTAAGCACTCAGTGTTGTCCATGGTTTTATCTTTGGTCATGGAGAGAGACCACTGACCATCAATTTATTGATCAGTTAGCCTAATTAATAAATTGATCAATAAATTACCCAGAAACTCTGTCTCTTGGGCTTTTCATTCATCTCACTGTGCCTGAACCATGTTCTCCATCCCTCTCCAACTGGTGCACTCCATTCTGAACAAAGCTATCTTTCTCCTTTTAGGCACTACCAACATTCTGAAATGTATTATGTATATCTGTGGCCTTAGTTCTCTCCCCATCCACCTTTAAGGTCTTCAATGTGTCCACAGGATCATACAACCCAAGATTTAGAGATGGGATGGGCTTCTGAGATCATCTAGTCCAATCTCCTCATTTTACAGAGTTTATTTGCCCAAGTCATGCACAAGATTTTAGATCAAGGACTGCAAGGAGAGTGGGGCAGAGCCAAGATGGTGGAGTGAAAGCAGGGACTTGCTTGAACTCTCCCCCAAACACCTCCAAATACCTGTAAAAAATGGCCCTAAACAAATTATAAAGCAGCAGAACCCACAAAAAGACAGAGTGAAACAAATTTCCAGCCCAAGATAGCCTCGATGGTTGATCAGAAAGGTATATTGTGCCGGAGGAGGGGTTGAGGAGTGCAGTTCAGTGTGGGCACGCAGGCAAACTAGGCCTTAGTGAACCTGGAGCAGGCCTCAGAGGACTGAATCACAGGCAGTTGTGGTGGTATCTAGACTTCTCAACCCACAAATGCCAAAGACAACTAAGCACGTCAGTGGGAAAGGTCTATGATTGCGGTGAGAGAGAAGCTCACTCAGTCCCAGCTCTAGTCCCTGAGCACAGCCCTGGGGTGGCATCTGCCTCTGGAGCTTCTGGTCCACAGATTGAGGGAGAATTGGGAGGCTGATCAGAGGGCGATTGCAGGGATCTCTTTTCCAGTGCTGAGGCAGGAATCTGTTGCTTTCCCCGTGTTTGGATATGGGTCACAGTACTGCGTGATGGTCTTGGGGCTAGGAGGAGTCCTGGAATGGTGGAGCTTGCAGTGGTACTAGAGAGGAAATCCTCATAGTTCCAAGGCAGAAGAGTGTTTGTGGTCACTTATAGACCAGAGCACAGGTAAGGAAAGCAATAAACACCTCATCCCTTATCATACCACCTTGGAAGAACTGAAAATTTACAGGTCCCTAGAAGCATCTCTGAAAATAGCTGCACAAAACCCCCAAAGCTTGGGACAGTACATTCTCCACACTGGAAGCAGACTCCTACCTTATCAAGGAGTTTAAAACTAAAGTAATTGGCTGTGACCATGAACAAATGGTGCAAAAAAGTCAGACCCATTCTTTTGGATTTGTTTTAAAGTGTCTTGATTTCTCATAAAGTCATTAGCTTCCAATTGCTCTATTCTAATTTTAAAGGAAGTATTTTCTCAGTAAGCTTTTGGACTTCCTTTTTCATTTGGCCAATTCTGCTTTTTAAGGCATTCTTCTCCTCATTGGCTTTTTTGACCTCTTTTGTCATTTGGGTTAGGCTATTTTTTAAGGTGCTATTTTCTTCAGTATTTTTGGGATCTCCTTTAGCAAGTTGTTGACTCATTTTTCACGATTTTCATAATAGAAAACAATGTGAAATATCTCACTGGAAAAACAACTGACCTGGAAAATAAATCCAGGAGAGATAATTAAAAAAATTACTGGACAATCTGAAACCCATGATCAGAAAAAGAGTCTAGACACCATCTTTCAAGAAATTATCAAGGAAAACTGCCCTGATGTTTTAGAACCAGAGGGCAACATAGAAATTGAAAGAATCCACAGATCATCGCCTGAAAGAGATTCCCAGAGGAAAACTCTTAGGAATATTATAGCCAAATTACATAGTTATAGGATATAAGTAAAATGTGAAGGGTTTTAAATGACAAAGAAATAAGTCTCTGTTTGATCCCAGTTGTACAAGGAGACACTGGAGTTTATTGAATAGATTTATTGACCAGAGGTCTCAACATTTCAGTAAATTGCAAAATTGCTTTGGAGCACCAGATATCAGTGAAAGATTCTGCTATGTTCCTCAATGGCAATTAATTGATCAACAAACATTTATTGAGTGCCTACTTTGTACCAGCCATGGAGAACAGCTTTTTCAAAGTCATGTAGATGGGAAATGAAGTGTCATGTGTGAGGAACAGTAAGCAGCCAAATCTTGCTGAATAGAGCTCCTGAAGGAGAATAGCACCCTCCAACCTTTCCAGTCTTCTGGCACCTTAGTCTTTGAACCAGTGACACTGGCCTCCTTGCTTTTCCACAAACAAGACACTCCATCTCTCAGCTTCTGGCATTTTCTCTGGCTGTCCCTCATGCTTGGAACGCTCTTCTTTCTCATCTCTTCCTATTAGCTTCCCTGGCTTTCATTAAGTCCCAACTTAAATCCCATCTTCTGTACAAAGCCTCTCCTACCACCTCTTAATTCTAGTGCATTCCCTTGGTTAATTATTTCCTATATATTCTGTATACAGCTTCTTTATATGTATTGTTTTTTTTGTCCCCCTCTCTCCCTGTAGAGTTGGAGCTTCTTGAGGGCAGGAATTGTCTTTTGCTACTTTTTGTGTCCCCAGTGCTGAGCACAGTGCCTGGCACATTGTAGGCTCTTCAAGAATGTCTCAAAATGTTTTGTTGACTCTCATAATCAAAACCAGCATAGGAGGACATGGACAGATAAACTGCTGTTTATCTCAGCCAGGGATAGAGTTACATGGGAACATAGACCTGTAGCAAAGGAGAGGTCCCTCAATGTTTATCAAAAAGGCCTACAAAGGAAGGTGGAATTAGAATTGTGACCCATTGGCAAGCCTATGGGACAGTTTCAGCCACCTATTCTTGTTACAACTGGAAATAACTAAGCCTGAAATCCTACCAACCTTGTATAATAGGAGCCATTCCAGGTTTGGAGTTTGGAGGGAATGCTTGTACAACCATAAGGGCAGCATTTAATTTCTGGTGCTAACTTCCCCCAAAGCTGAGGGGGAAGCATGAGTGGAGGGAAGGGCCTCATTGGACTGTGGCATTGCTTAATATTTTGGAGATGCTATGCTTATAAGAGAATTTACAAATGTGTGTTCATTGCCATTTTATCAGCTAATTGCATCCAAAACTGCTCTCTCCACCCCAGGGCAGTTGTCTTGTTGGCCAATCATAAAGTGGTCGGTTGAAATCTTGTTTGTTTGATTTTGCATTAAAAATCATAAGCCACAGCTTAAATATTCCTGTGGTGGAAGGGTTGGGGTTGGATTTGTGTCTGCATAGATGAACACCGTGGGTAGGGTTAAATGGAAAACCTTTGCATTTGTCCATCAGATAAGCCTGGATCACAAATACAATATAGCACAAAGTTTGCTGCTGAGGCAATCACCAGGGTCAGTCTCACTAGTGTATGTTCTTCTTTGGCAGTAGACCCCCCTGGGAGACTTAGACTAGGGGTGCTCCAGGCATATTTGTACCCTCCATACTAACCTCATGTTAAGGCGAGGGGCAGTTGCCAGATGTGAAATAATGGGACTGGGCTGCTACCGCATTCAGGGCCATCTCTAGTCATTCTGATTTATGTCTTGCCACTGGACCCAGTGGCTCAGGAGGAGATAGTGAGACAGGTGACTTTGAACAGCCCTGTCCCATTTAAATCCAATTCATTTGTAAGTCAAGACAGCATCTTCCTGATATCAGTGGTCTCTTTCAGATGGAAAAACAAAAACAACAACAATTGGACATCACAAATCAGGTAAATCAAGGAAACCATTGAGAGAAAAAGCAGGATTGTTGCCTGCAACTAAGAGTCACACCTGACCAGAGAGCATGAAATGAAGAAACATGGGCCAGGCGGGTCAGCTAAGACTGAACCGTTTATTCATCTGAGGGTCACAGAAAAAGTTTGGAACTATGAAGGATCCCTTGCGTGGGAAAACTATGCATATTCTGTAACTGTTACTGATAACTTCCAAGGTTCAGAGCTCAGTAAAAAAATGCTTTCAGAACATGCATCAAAAGAGCATACAATAAAAGTGTCAAGAAAAAAGGATTACATCATTTTAAACAAATGGTTACAAGATAGAGATTAACAGTCAATTAATAGGCCTCGACAATCATTCTCAGGGCTGTCTCAGGTTCTTATTCAAAGTATGTGACTAGTCCTCCCTAGTTTGCCACATGTTATCCTCATGCCAGACTTTTATTGTGTCACCATGGGGCAGTTCCAGGAGCCCCTTAATGAATAGCAGAATGGTGAGCCAACATCCTGATTAAGTGAGCCCTTGAAGGTAAGAACAGGCAGGAGTTAAATTCCAACCTGAATTCTTTAACCCTTTTCTGGACTGATCAGAGCTGGCCCTCTACATCTCCCCCTTTCAGTCTTTGTTGAAGCTTGAGGTGATGAATATCTGTAGCTAGAGATTTGAACCATGACTTTATCAGTGCAGCTGCACACGGGAGAACAAGGCAAACTAGGACTAATAAAATTCCCCAAGAAAAAAGATGAAGTAATAAATCAGTGATATTTTTGAATATATTTATTGAGGCCAATTTTTGTAAGATCTCTTGTGGTAAACTTTGAGGATGAATCCCTAGGAATAGACTGTCAGAAATAGCCTGGGTCACATTTGAAAGAAAAGATAAATCAGCTGCATAACTGCTATTTTGCCAAACACCTTCTAAATGATTCTTGATCATATCCCAATGTACTATACTAGAGTTATAAGCTATAGGAGTAACACATATCATAGTAAAATGATAATCACATTTCAATTGTGCTCTAAATTCTGATTCTGCAAGTTCATCTCCAATATATAGCACAGATTGCTCTAACAGATTAACTTTATATGATAAATCCCTATCAATAGCTTCTTGAGCTCATAAGGTTAAGCCAATATTTTTTACAAGCTCATTTACAAATCGTGCATCTTGTATCTCTGACTGCAATGCAATAGAAGACAGGGTGGATATAATAATTAAGGAAATGACAGAAATTAATCCAGTAATGAGAAACCCAACAAATATTTTTGACCTGTGTAGTGATGATGAGATGAGTTGAAGGGCATGTTCCCTAGAAGATTGGAACCATTCATTAGAAAGGTCAGTGGGAAAAAAACATCAAAGGATGGTTGCTCAACCAATAGAACAATTTTGTCATTTTGATCAATACATTGCTTGATAATACAATTAAGACAGGTTACATTCCATTCTAAAGTACTGGATTGTGCCAAGTTCACAAATCCAGGTTCTAAACTATTGGAGAAGGAAGAAGCTATCATAAATGCTTGTGGGGTTTTATACAAGCTTTAAAGGAAAATAAGTCCAATGCTGGTCACAATGTCCATATGATGGCTGGGTAGAGATCAGGGGAATCATTGCAAGTCTTTTCTTTCTCTTCATAGTTCGCTTCCATTTCTGCTGCAGGTTCAATTCCTTCATCTGGGCGGTGAGTAGTGGAACAGGTTCGAACATTTTTCTCTCGAATCCAGACAGGTTTATCAATGGTTTCTGGAAAGACACAAACATACCCTTGCCCCCAGGTTGATAATGGATCTGGATCTTCCCACTTCCCAGTAAGTGGGTCCTTCCACATAACTCTGGCTTCAGGAAACCTACATTTTTGAAAGTGTTTTTCTGCAGGTGTAATCCCATCTTCATTGACATTCAAAAAGTTTAAGGTATATAAAATCTGGGCTAATTGTCTGGAGGGAGTAGTTGTTCATGCTCCCCCTTTTTGTTTATTTAAGTAAATTTTGATGTCTTTTTTTTTTTTTTGCTAAGGCTTGTCCTGTAAGATTGTATGGTATTCCTGTAATTAAAGTAATATTATAATATGAACAAAAAGAGAAAAAAGAAGAACTGATATAAGCAGGAACATTATCAGTTTTTAATTATTTTAGAATGCCCAAACAAACAAAAGAGAGAAGCATATGATTAATAACATGTGTGGTAGCTTCTTCAGATTGAGGGGAAGCAAAGGTGAATGAAAAATAAGTATCTACTGTAACATGTGCCTAAAACAGTTTCCCAAAAGAGGATATATGAGTTACATCCATTTGCCAAACATGGTTGGGTTGTAAACCCCTAGGATTTATAGTAGTAGAGGAAGGGGTTGAATATATAACACATTGAGAAGAGCTTTTAACTATTTGCTTGCCTTATTCTCTAGTAATATGAAATTGTCCACAGAGTGTGTTAGCATTTTGATGAAACTAAGTATGGGCATCAATAGCCTTTTTGAATTTGTAGTGGCAATAAAATTGGAAAAAATTGTAGTTGATAATCAATTTTTGCATTACCAGTGCTTAAGGATCCAGGAAGATTAGAATGAGTTCTAATATGAGTTATATAAATAGAGTTATTACAGTAACAAAGTAGTGATTGCAGTTGCTGAAACAAAGAATACAAATCAGGTGCTAGGATATGTTTAAGTTTTATGGTCTCAATATTTTGGCACATACATATGGAGTATTTACTATCAGATATACTATTGAGAGGGTCAGAAACATCCTGTAATAACAGTATAATAGCAGACAGTATGCATTGTTGATGAAAGGAAATATAATATCTGGGAAAATCCAAGGGTATTTTGAAAAGAAAGTGAATAATTTCAAAGATGGGGGAAGATTGTCTAGTTTCCTAGTGTAAACCATAATGGCTACTTGCCATTCTTCTGAAGAGGCAATTAGAGAATTAAGTTGTTGTTTATTGTATGGTTGATGAATAATAGGAATTAGATTGCCAGAAAGTAAAAGATATCATTTATGTAAACGTTGTATTAAAATTGCAACCATACTAGTATATATAGTTAGTGAATTAGGGAATTCATGGGGAAGGTGTATCCACTTTAGGATTCCAGAATTTTGAAATAATGCCCCAGTAGGGGAAACAGGGGTATCTAATATGACCCCTTGTACTTCTTCATTGGGGTTAATTCCAGTAAGCTGAGGCTCAGAGATTTTTTAATCTACTAAATGGAGTTCTTTTTTTCCGCTTGAGAAGTGAGATAACCGGGAGGCGGGGGGGAGAGTCCTTCTCTAAAGGCAGCAAAAAGGTTAGATAGCTATTCAGTTGTTATAGATAGGGAAGGTTGGAGCCAATTGATGTCTGCTAAGCAAGGGAATAATTCCCTGTTGAGAAACAGGGTGTTGAGATAAAAAAAAAAAATTTCTGTAAAGGAGTGGCCTGTACAAAAAAGGGTGTGACAAAGACATCTGAGGTGGTCACATTAGGAAGGGGGTTTCTTGCAAAAATTGCCTTAAACAGAAGAGGTTCTAACTTAAACCTCACTATTGAGTAGATACACAATCTTAAATTTGTTTATCCTTCTCTAATTACACTTCAGAAATTGAATCTTTTACATATGATAAATTCAAACACTGATTTTATACTTACTTAGGCCATGAGATAACTACAAATTTGATTAAAAACAGCAAGATTTCACATACTTACATTGTGCTCATGTCTTTTATTAACCACTTGCTCTGATCAGAGAAATCTACTATAAACGGAAAAGGCAGGCCATGAGACATACCAAATATGACAAGATAAAACATCCTTAGCTCTGCTTGAATTCAGGTAAGAGTCACAGTTCTCCAATCAAGCAGTATCAATTTCACATAATAGCCAGACTTAGGAATAGTCAGGTGGGAAACATTCCTTCTCAAGGGAACACAATGGGGAAACTGAGCCAGGAGGATCCCATCCTAGATTGAGGCTAAGATTGTCTTCACAGCCTTTTCCCAAATGCAGACCTCCACGTGTTAACAGTACAGGATCACATTCCCTCTGAGTAACTGGTGGCATTTCTCTCAGATACTGATTTAATAGAGACTACTATATTCAAATTCAAACTCAAAACAAAATTAGTTATAGTCCCAAGAGCCTTTTACTTCAAACAGCAAGTTTCACCAATCACAGCTTAAAGCCAGATACAGTTAATTTTATTATTATGGAGTTGCAATAAGCAATAAAGATTTACCAGGACTCACATACATAAGAGATTTCATTTAACATTTTTCCTTTTCAAAATTTAAACTTGTCCGGGTATAAAAGCCAATCATTAGAAATCATTTCCATACACTTGCAAATTCTCAGCAAGCTAAGTTCATGGTTTAGGAACTGTATAACCTAAACAAGTTCTTTTCTCAGGGCAGATGACCTTGCCCACACAGATGGTTTCCAAGGGCCTTGGCAAGTTTACAAAATAAGGGGAATTGCTTTATATCCCAGGGAGAGGCTGATCTTGGTACCCCTGCCTGCCAACCCCGATATGCCAAGGAGGACTGTTTTGAATGGGCAGAACCAAGCTGGATAAGGCTTTTACCCAATCCCCTCCTTTTCACATAGTAATCAATTAACAACTCTAGGTTTTAACATTAAAACACTAACTTCAAATAACTTAGCTAACAATCTTATAACTTTCATAAGTGATAGTCAAATTGTTTTAGCTATAAGCCCTTCTTTAATTACAGGTAAAGGTGGAAATACCTGGTTTTCTAAATGGCAGTTACAAAACATTATAATAAAGGGCTAGTAAGGCTGACAAAGTAATACAATTGGTTTTACACAATTTTTCACTGTCCTTTAGTTTCTTTAAGTTCATGTTCTGATAACATTCAAATTATGAAAAGCTGCTTGACATAACAATAAAAAACTTTACCAATTTGCAACAATTCTAGGTGTTTAAAATTTGAAATAAACATATTACCAATTAAGTGGCTCCCATTCTTTTGAATGCATTTCCAAATTTCCTTACATAGAAAATTGGGCATCTCGTCACCATTGACATTGTATACTGGTAACCTCTAATTAAGGAACTAATAATGATAGTTGTTAACATTTTTAGTGTCTGCCCTCTGCTAGGCATTGTGTTAGGCACCTTCTAATCATGTGAGATAAACTGAGGTAACTTGCTTAATGTCACCCTGTTAACAAATTTCAGATCCATACATTTTCCCAATTTACCTTAGTGCCAAACAGTATAATAAATTTTGACTTAAGCATTAAGTTAAAAACATCACATTCATTTAAAATATTACCAGAATGAATTAAATTACCTTTTAGTTGTGTTCTAGTACACAAAAACTTTTCTCTTGTGTGAGGCAGAAAAGATTAAGTGCTACCTCTATTTTTGATCCCCTTTTTTTGTTTCTTGTCTTTCCCTCCACATTCAAAACTTGGCCAGAGTTAGAATGTAGAAAGAGAGAGAAGATTTATTTTTCCCAACAATTCTTCAAAAGTTTCAAAACCAAACCCTCTGCACACATTGTTCTTGCAAATAGATTATGCTTTTCTTTTTACCTATATTTCTTTCATTTTATATGCTTAAACTTTGTTACCTTTTCTTCTGATGGACTTTGATTAAATTCCCTTTAAAACTGCACATATCTTATTTCTTTCTAATTTTGACATGACAATTCAAAGATCCTTTTTAACTTGCCTTTTACCAATCATATAACCTAAATAATAAAGTATTTTTCTCTCTTTCTCTCTCCCATCCACCCGCTCCTCTGAGCCTGCTGTAATCAGGGAGGGAGTGGGGAGAAAAAGAAAGCAGCATTCCAGAGTCCAGCTGCAGTCTTGGAAACTGGAATGCTATTTTTGCTACCTGGCTACAAAGGGTGACAAATTACACACAGGACACTCGTTCATACCACATAGACAAACACAGAACAGATACATAATTATGACAGGGAAAATCAAAAAACTGGAGTTAGTTTCTTGTACAGTTATCATAATAATTCATTTTTTGAAACAAAAAATCCCCCCTTTCTGGACATATTTTAGCAATGGTACACCAATCAAAAGAACAAAGAACAGTAATTGCAATATTATCTAATAAGGTCATGACATAAGGAGCGATAGGGCCATAAGCTGAAGCCACCTGTTTAAGTTCTTTTAGTATTTTGAAATTTAAGGTTTCATGTTGTCTTATAATATTAGCAGGCTTTCCTGGATCAGGGATTTCAAGGACAGGAAAAGCTTGAAGAAACTCAGATGCTACTGCTTCTTCAGATTTTCATGCTCCAAGAATGGCTCTCTGAACTGGAACAGAGGGCTTTTTAAACATATTATCAGAAAAAGGGTCTGGTGGAGGTGGAGGTGGAAAGGGCTGTGTCAGGCGAGCTAAGAAATCTGTAAAAGTTTCTTGAGCGCCCTGTTTTATTTTAGTGAAGGAGGTTCCCCTATCCTCAGCTCTTTTTATTACTTCCTCCAATAGTCCTTTATACTGAACTTTCGTCCCCTTCTGTACTTTATTGTGATGTTACTGACTGTCTTCCTCTCTATAGGAAGGGGATGTATAAGAGGGTGGGGGTCTTAACGGGGCTGTAGGTTGTGTGTATTTTAATTCACTCTCATCATTCTCTCTAATTTTTTGCTGCTCTTTAAACACCTGACTCATCTCTTCTTCCTCTTCAGCCCCTGCTCCTGCATCTTTTTTCAGAATTTTTGTTGCTAAGGGTACTTTTTCTGGAGGAGTGAGACGTATTTTCAACACATTCCATATGGAAAATGCACCTGGACCAACTTCCTTGTAATAGTCACTCATTTGTCTGCTCACCATCTCCCACTTTCTAAGTCTATGGTTCCCTTTTGTGGAAATCACGGGCAGCATGTTTCAACACAGTCTAAAAATTCCTATAACTGACTGCTTGTGATAAATAAACCCCTTTCTTTCACTATTTTCTGTGAAAGTCTTAAATAATATTCTCTATCTTTGTTCCCGCTTTGTGTTTGACCCATACTTTCGACTTTAAGCGAGCCTCTCAAAACCGAAAGTATGTGCGTGTGGCCGTTCCAAAGCGATGCTGTTTTCTTCTGCTCTTAATACCGAGCCCCTTTGTTTCTTTTCCTTATATCCCACCTAGCCTGGTGTCCCCTTTAGCCCTAAAACTGCTAAAGGAATGTATTTTGTGCCCGTCGCTCTCTTACCTTGTTTCCACAGCGTTGAGCCCCCAAGGTGTTTCTTTGCCTTTTTTGTTTTCTCCGGAGTTCCAAGAAAGCCGCTCCCCTCATACCGTTTCCTTCAGGTCCCTGTCTAGGCGCCACTTGTTGCCTGCAACTAAGAGTCACACCTGACAGGAGAGCGTGAAATGAAGAAACATGGGCCAGGCGGGTCAGCCAAGACTGAACCGTTTATTCATCTGAGGGTCACAGCATAGATAGGAAAAAGTTTGGAGCTACGAAGGATCCCTCGTGTGGGAAAACTATGCATATTCTGTAACTGTTACTGATAACTTTCAAAGTTCAGAGCTCAGTAAAAAAATGCTATCAGGACATGCATCAAAGAAGCATACAATAAAAGTGTCAAGAAAAAAGGATTACATCATTTTAAACAAATGGTTACAAGATAGAGATTAACAGTCAATTAACAGGCCTCGACAATCATTCTCAGGGCTGTCTCAGGTTCTTATCTCAAAGTATGTGACTAGTCCTCCCTAGTTTGCCACATGTTATCCCTCATGCCAGACTTTTACTGTGTCACCATGGGGCAGTTCCAGGAGCCCCTTAATGAATAGGAGAGTGGTGAGCCAACATCCCGATTAAGTGAGCCCTTGAAGGTAAGAACAGGCAGGAGTTAAATTCCAACCTGAATTCTTTAAGCCTTTTCTGGACTGATCAGAGCTGGCACTCTACACAGGATTACATAAGACCTAGCAGCTACTCCATTGAAGGATGGAAACACTACATTATATAGAACAAAAGAACTGGGTTATTACCTAGAGTAACTTCCCCAGCAAAGTTAAGTATAATCCTGAATAGAGAAAAAGAATATTTAATGACCTCAAATACTTTCAGGTTTTTTTGACTAAAACCCCAGAATAAAAGGGAAAATTCAACATATAACATCTGGGAGAAATATGTGATAGACATTAAAGACCAACTGTAAGGGACTCAATAAGTTAAAATTGTATACTTTGTATACATTAAAATAATAGTAGTGCTCTTATGTTTGTCATCATTGTTTGGGTAGTTTGAAAGAAAAGTGTGGGACAAGCTGAGTATGGTGGGGTGATTTTTTAAAAAAGATAAACTATGTAGGGAGAGAAAAAAAGAGTAATGATCTTGTACAAATGAGGCATAAAAGGAAAAACTGATAAAGGATAAGCTAACAGGGGGGAGGGCAGGTAGAGCTGGAACCTTACTCTCATGGAGAATGGGATAAAGAGGGAACATATATATCTGGAAGGGTACAAAGTCTTCTAATTTCAGAACTAAATAAGAGGGCAAGAGGACAGAGGGGGTGAGAGGATAAAGGAGGGATTTTTAGAGAGGTCTGTAGGTTAAACAATTGGAGGGCAACATAATGGGAAGAAGTAAAACAAGAGTGAGGAGTAGGGTAAATAGGATGAGAATGAGAAGGAAAATTAGGAAGGAGAAAAATATACTGCAAGTAATTATAGATTAGAATGTGAATGGCATGAATCTACCCATAAAAAGGAAATGGAAAGCTGAGTAAAAATTTGAATTCAACATTATGTTGCTTTCAGAAAACATTATAAAAATGAGAAACACACAAAGATAAAATAAAGAGTAGGAGTAGAATTCAGTGTGTAAAATAAAAACAGAGATAGTAATCATAATCTCAGAAAAAGTTATGGTTAAAATAGAGAAACTACACTGTGTCAGCAATATTATTTAATATGGTTAAGACCATTTAAAATACCTAGACAGTATAAAATACCTGAGTGTATACATGCTGAAGCAGACATAGGAACTATGTGAACATAAACATCAAATGCTTTTTATACAGATAAACTCTGATCTAAATAATCAAAAAATATTTATTGTTCATGGGTAGTTAAAGCCAATATAAGTTTTAAAATGTCAATTTTTCTCTAATTTAATGTCATTCTAATTAAGTTACTATTTTTTTTTTTACTGAGGTAGAAAGAATAACAACAATATTCATTTGGAAGAACAAAAGGTCAGGAACTTTAAAGCAACCAGGGTAAAAAGATGTAAAGGAAGTAGATTCAGCAGAATCAGACCTTAAACAACATTGTAAGGCAAGAGCATTGTTGAAGTGTAAAAAAGGATAATTTCAGTTATTTTAAATTAAAATTTTATTGTATAATAAAACCTATGTAGCCAAGAACAGAAAGAATGAAGAAAACTGGGGAAAAACTTTCATAGACAATCTCTCAGATAGTTTGTAATTGTGTTGGAATATTGCTGTGGTGTAGGAAGTGCTGAACTGGCTGATCTAGAAAAACATGGAAATACTTGGACTTATGAAGGAAGATGCTATCCAACTTCAGAGAAACAGATGATAGGAGGAAATAAGCATAGAACAGTCCTACATATATGTATATGAGTGTACACATGTATATTTATAGATATCTGTGTATAAGTTTACGTGTGTATTATATATACATATATATATATGTATATGCTTAATTGTAACTTTCTTGGGAGAGAAGGGAAAATAAAGTAAAAAGTGCATTGCAGAGAACAAAAGAAAACCTAGAAGGAAGTAAAGAAAGACATCCTGAATATGGTCTTGCTGGCAAAGCCTTGGCCAAAGGAAGCAAGCCCTGGAGAGAGAGAGAGATCAAGATCTGCTTGGCAGAAGTGAGCTGAGCGGCAATTGGACTTTCCTTGATGGGAAGGGAGAGTTATTAACAGAACAGAGGTGGTAATTTTTGGCTTCAGATGGGTGCTCTGGGAATCAGGGATGTGAAAGGAAGCTAGAATAACCCCTTGAAGAGAACTCATGTGCCCTTTCCTTTCCCAGTCTGGGCAGTTCAGTGAGGCTCTGCCCACCAGAGAAAGAAGGCTTCTCACCAACCTGCACAAATCAGCCTCATGGACATCTATCACTAAGGTTGTCTCCTGCTGCAAGCAGCCTGAAGAGGCCAGAAGCAGGAGCCAAATCCAATTGTTTGTCAAAATGAGGTAAGAAATGTAGGAGAACAACTTCACCAGGATTGCTATAAACACTTTTTCAAGAGGCCCAAATGGATTGGAGCAAATACTGTAGTTAATACTAATCTGAAGGAAAGGACAGCATAGAAAGATGTGGCCTACATTAAAACAACCTTTAGTCTGATCTCTTCCAAAGTGTTAGCAATAACCAAACAGGGGTTGAGATGGATGTCAGAACACACACACTCTTTCACACACATACATACACACACACACACACACACACACATACACACTTGTGAGTCAGTGGTGAAGCACTGGATGGGATGTAACTTAGTACATACACATAGACACAAACATACAGACAGACTCAAAGTCTCACACATACACACACTGTTGGACCAGTGATTGAAGAAGGGATGGGATGGAAGTTAGGACATAAACACACAGACACAGAGACAGAAACACACATGTTCCCACACTTAAAAGAACACATACATATGCATATGTATATGATCTTGTATTTTTAGGTTATAAAGAGTCATTCAGTCTTCAAAAAGAAGAATAAAGAGTGAGAATGGAAGGCTACTGCCTTGCATTATTATAGAGAGGAAAAATTTGAGCGTTCATGGATAAGAATATACAAAGCCCATTGGTTTTGAAGAGGGGGACAGAGAGACATCAGGATGGACAGCAGAGGGTCGCTGGGCATTAGTCCTGGTCCCTGGCATCTTCTCCCTCTGTGCCCTGATCCCAGAATGGCCACAGCCAGGAAAATCCGCTAACAGATCTAGACACTTGCAGTGGCAGTGGAAGTTGGGAAAATTAGCCTGAAATGGTCTTTGAGGAAGGGGAAAATGAGCCTGAGAGTGCATAGAAGGGAAGAATGCTGACTTCCAGCAGAGGGGTGAGTCAGCTGCCTGTTGGGGGCTGGTGGAGGGACCAGCAAAGGTAAAGGGAGTGGGACTTCTGCCTCCCCAAGGTGGTTGCTGCAGTCACCGGCCAGCCTTGCTCAGATGGGAATCCGTCTCAGGTCCCCTTAGATAATGACTCCCTGAAGAATCTTAGGGTTGGGAGTGGATAACTGTGAGGCAAAAGATGCCAGGCTATGAGCTCAAAGCCCATGAAGGCTCTGAGTCCTAAGCATGGGAGACAAGTGGCCAGGAAGCCTGTACCCCAGACACCAGGACTCCCGCCCATGGTAGAGAAACAGTCCCCATCTGGTCTCTTTGGATCTTGTCCTTTCACTCCCCCCTGGGCTCTGAGGTCTCACAGTCCTAGTCAGATGGGATAGATTTACTTCTACTTCAGGAGGCAAGTCCAGGAAGAAATAAAATTATAAGCTATTTTTTCTTAGGACAGTTCTTCCTCTTTTTTTGGGGGGGTGAGGCAATTGGTGTTAAGTGACTTGCTAGTATGTGTCAAATGTTTGTTCTGAGGTCGGATTTGAACTCAGGTCCTCCTGAGTTCAGGGCCGGTGCTCTATCCACTGTGCCACCTAGCTGCCCCCTGAGGACAGTTCTAAAAGGGAGTTCTGCTTCTCTGATTCAGATCTAGAAGTTCCCAGATAATTCTGACTTAATATAAATTAGTATAATCACTTAAATTTGGTTTTCCATTTTTGAAACTTGAGAATTTCAGTTTATATATCATCTGCTGTTTCTATACTTACCTAAATCCTGTACCTGGTTTAAGGACTTTTTTAAATATGAAGGTTCAACCAAAAAATGAGCTCTTTTGCCTTTTAAAATTTTCAGACAGATATTTTAATAAAAGAGAAATAATTTCACTGACTTTTACCATTATCTTATATAATTGGATGTCTGTCACATTATATCTTTGTCTAATTACTTGGTCTAATCATTTTCTCCTTAGCAGGATATTATTCTATATTATTATTATTTGGCAATGAATGTAAGTTAAAATTATAAGCTATTTTTTCTTGCATCCTATGATAATAATGCCAGGATGTTCCAGTATCCATTATTTAATATATTTAGTGTTGTACTTATAGAACTTCTTGATTATAGAAATTTACTATAAAAGGAAAAAGAGGAATATTTAGTTATTAAACGGGTACTACTACTACTGTTTATTATAATAGCAGATTTTCATTTGAAAATCTTAGCTATTATGAAAGTAGATAAGGTACTTTAAAGATATAGCTTCGACATGTTAATGATACGTCAACTACTGGGTATTTGCTGTATATTTGAAGCCCCTAAATATGGGTAGTTTTAATTCATAAGTAAACGATTAATGAAAGGTAAACTGTTAGAGAGACATCAGGAAAGATGACCTAAATTGAGGTTAGTGAAATTTTGCTATTTAAGGTAAACATTTCTGGAACTATAACTTACTATTATTTTGAGCTTTTTTTACTGACATAGTTGTCTGAATTGTCATTCAGCCAGT